ATGCCTCGTTTCCAGTAAAAAGGGTCTCCGGTTCTCTACACTCACCATACGAAATACAGCAGCATTAAGCTACTATTTCACGCTGGTATTTTGTGAGAGCGTGGTCCTTCCACGGTCGAGCCGACCCATTCGTACTACAACTATACTACTAATATAACTGCAGCATGCCTCTACCACCTAGACTAAACCTACAGACAATATACTTCTAAAAAGAGACTTTTCACAAAGATGGTCCCATGGATGTTTTGTTTGTTGGCTTGAAGGTTAAGAGGGCCAGTACATAGCTTGTGAAGCTTTTCTTACGGGTGAAAATGCATCTTGGGCTGAGCCATCAAAGGGAGTTGTAGCTAGTTTGCACGTACACATTTTTGATATTATTAAAAAGGATAAGTTATAATGTCAGCACTGTGAAATAAATTTTTGTCTATTTTAAAACTTTTCTTAAATTTGCCTTATACGAGCAGTAAAAGACGTGTTTAGATATGCTAAGTAAGCATTTTGGCGGTGACAGAATTTAATTAGAATGTATTTGCAAGTATTATTCATTAACATAGTAGTACGTGAGTATACTTGCACAATAATGCCCTTCGTGTTACGTGCCATAGTCACATTCATTATTTTCATTCTATAAACATAAGCTTTGTACACATAAAGTATTTCCTCCTTCGGGTCAGATCGGAGTTCTAGGCTCGTGTCATTCCGAATCAAATTTATTTAATTTATTAGCGCTAAATTTTACATACGCAAGCAACCCGGGTTAGGAAAATGTTAATTGCAATTGTAAGTGCTGATTACTGAGACGGATATGTTTTAAAATGAATATGGACAAGATGAATATCATGTATAACTTCTATATCACACCTATGCCCGTAGTGGTTGGTAGAAGTAGAAGTTCTTGACGAGTATAATATTTGCCTTTTTATTATAGAATAAGGACTATAAACGAACCCACATCCCAGCTGATGGTGACTTGGTCTTGGCTATGTTCTACTCTCTGTGTGTGAGCCATTCCTACCTGCCCGCGGATTTCGTAAAAACTGTGGTGGTACCTATAGCGAAGAATAAAACGGGTGACTTAACCGACAAAAGTAACTATAGGCTTATTTCTCTTGCCACCTTAATTGCAAAGGTGTTTGACGGTTTGCTTAACACACAGTTGAATAAACATGCAATACTCCATGGAAACCAGTTCTGATTTCGTTCTCCCATGCTTCCTCGACTTATCCAAGGCATTTGACCTGGTGGCATATAACTTACTATGGGACAAACTGCGAAGCATAGGCTTGCTACAAGAACTCATCATCATACTCCAGTACTGGTATGCAAACCAGTCCAATAGTGTCAGGCGGGGGTAATGTGTGATCCATATCAGCTTGAGTGTGGAGTCAGGCCGGGCGCCTTAATATCATCAACTCTATTTAATCTTTATATCAACGAGCTAATCGTAGCACTTAGTAGTCCGTATGTCGGCTGCCACATTGACGGTATTTGTGTCAATAATCTGAGTTATGAGGACGACATGGTGCTGATGAGTGCGTCGATCTGTGGTCTAAAAAAGCTGATACGGATATCCGAGGAATATTCATGTGGCCACGGATTATTATACAAGGTCAGGAAAAGTAAATACATGATCTTTGAGACCGCGGGTGGGAAATGCCTAGCTCAATATACCTCAAATTAAATTAAATGGTGTTCCCCTGGAAAGGGTTGAAAAGTTTAAATATCTATAAGTTTTAATATCAGGTCACGCTGATATAGATTGGGAGCGGAGTACGCAGTCTATTAGAGCAAACATGATCGACCGACCGCGGTGGTCAAAGGTTAAGGTTATGCTCTTTTGAGCATTCTGTACATCGCTCTACTCGTGCAGTTTATGGGTTAATTACAGTAGGAAGTGTTACAGCGTCCTCCGCGTTTAATACAATAATGTTTTGGAGCGGTGATGGGGTTGCCTCGATTTTGTAGCGCCTCTGGTATGTTCGCTGATGCACTCACCGATTGCTTTCATGTCACCATATGCAAGCGGGTAGCGTCCCTGGTGCGCAAAGTGCGGGATAGCTCCAACACTAGAGTGTTGTAGAGTGTAGAGTGTTGGTTAGGCTGTCAGTGCTGCTGATTTACTGCGTGCTCGGGCGTGAAGGAAAACATTGTGAGGAAACCTGCATATCTGAGAAATAAGAATTTTTTTTTCAAAGATATGTAAATTTCGCTAACACGCATTGGGGCAGCGCGGCGGACAATTCTTTGCTCTTAAAACCCTCTCAGAAATGAGCGGGGGGGAGGCCAGTGCTCAAGAGTACGACGTGTATAGGCTGTAACTTAAATTAAGTTAACTTAAAATTGTAGAGAGATTGATTTTAAATCGATTGATTTTATTAGTTATGAGTGTAAATTGGCTAAATAATGATGATTATTAAGTGGATGCTGGGGCCCATAGACATCTACATAGAGAAAGAGAATGTTAATGCAGATGCGTTGTCACCCCTCAGGACTAAGATAAAATGCCTTGTTTCCAGTAAAAACAGTCTCCGGTTTTCACTATACGAAACACAATAGCATGAGACTAATGTTTAGGCTGGTATTCTGTGAGTGCGTGGTCCTGCTCCAGTCGAGCCGACCCCATTCGTCCTACAACCACTATAAAACTACAGCGTGGCAATATCACGTATATATTTGGAACGAATTGTCCGCCCTGGTAAGTTCAACTTTGACCGAGAGGTTAATAGACGGATCCAACTCAGCTGTGTAGCGTTCGGGAGATTAAGACACAACTTTTTGTCACGTTTGTCCCAAAGCTTGAAATCAGAAGTGTAGATACTACCAGTGATGAAATATGGATCTAAGATGTGGTCCTTCACTGTTAAGTGCGTATGAGGAAACTAGATGCATCAGCGAGCTATGGAGAGCTCAACTATGCTCTGAGTTGGTCTTTAAGTTCTCTCTTAAAACGAATTTACAGTCTACGATATGAAGTAATTTAATGCAGGCCAAGAACACATGTAAGTAAATCTAATCGAGGAATACTACTGAGACGTTATCATTTATAAGGACTGTGATGGAATGCCTCCGCCCCGAACGGGTTCCCGCTTTCGTTGTGGGGTGGGGAGTTAGTAGTTGTGGCTTGGTCATCCACGTTAAACTAAGGGGTACCTACATGGCTGGTCCGAGGTGAAGAGTCGGCCCGGGGTACCCACTCAAGCTTGGCGAGCCGAATTCGGATGTGTGTTGGTGGACTGCGGCAAGAGTTACCAGGATCGGGGCGGCCCGTTGCTCAGGTAGAGGTGGAAGCCGTAGAGGCAGGTGCGCCTTGTGTCCTAACGCGCCTTACCTGAGGATGAGAAGGGGTAAGAGATGTCTTCTTCTGGGAAGGTGATGCCATGGAGCGGACCATCTCCATAGATGTGGGCAAAAGCTTCTCTGCGGCCCTCGCAATATGCGGCGAAGGTGGAACACCATGAGGTTTCAGTCGGTGCGAGAATGACATAATTCGCCCTTGCCCCCACTAGGGGGTATACGTTGGCGTATACGTACGTTAATTTCCCCATGTAAAAAAAAGAGAGAATGGCTCACAGGCACTGACTGTCTGTCAGCAGATAAAGATTACAGGTGGTACAGTATAGATAACATGTTCCTAGCTAGACGCACTCCTGGACAGGAATAAAGTACTACCTTATTTGATTTTTTTTGGTATCATTAACCCACGTAACTAATAAAATAATAAGTACACTAACATATAAAATGCAGCGAAACAATTGTTTAATGCTAAATACAGACTGTGGTCTATAACATTAAAAAGCCGTCTTTATAGGATTTTTTAATAGTAGGGTGACAAACGAGCACACAGTCCACCTGATGGTAAGTTGTTGCTGTGGCTCATAGACATCTACATCTATCCTCGATTACGAATCAAAAATGCAGATGCGTTATCACCCGTGAGGGCTAAGATGATGCCTCGTTTCCAGTAAAAAAGGGTCTCTGGTTCTCTACACTCACCATACGAAACACATCAGCATTAAGCTACTATTTCACGCTGGTATTCTGTGAGAGTGTGGTCCTTTCCCGATCGAGCCGACCCATTCGTGCTACAACTATACTTCTAATATAACTGCAGCATGGCTTTACCACGTATGAAAACCAAGTATCGCTATGTAATATAGGATAAAGGATTCGATACTTTATCCTATACTACATAGCGATACTTGGGCACTAAAAACCGGAAAAGTGAAAGTTATACTTGTTCGGCTTTGCTGTTAAGTTACAGCGTTTGTACAGGGCACGACTGGGTAAAGGACCTACTCTCATTTGTAGACCGAAAATATGTAGTAATAATAATTAGTAATAATGAATATTTTTTGCTTTATTGTTACCGGTAGCGTTGAAAGGACTTAGGGTTAGGAAGGAAGGTTGAAGGGAATTATGGCCATGGCCACATAATATCAACAAGTCAACGTGAAAAATATTTTACATATTATGCAGTTAAGGTCAATTTTAAATTTTCATGACCGCCATAATCCTTTTTATTGTTATAGTAATGGAAGTTAACTTGTTTGAAACGTACAATAATCGTTTATTATAGATACTAAATTAATTTGTACATATTATATTTCAATATTATTTTCATAACCGCCCGAACAAGCAGTTTTAAAATAATTCGTATTCGTAAATTTACTCATGTAAATGTAGTAATTTATAAGAGTATTATTAATTTACATGTACATATTTAAGTTTAAAATTTTTGCTTTTTTAATTGTCTTAATTTCATGATTTTAGCGATGTTACCGATCTGTGTTTAACCTTTATATTTATGATAGTTATCGGAAACATAATAAGTTATGTATTTACTTTTTAAATACACGTAATTATTAACCCCTATTTACCCTTATGTATTTAACATTACCTCAGGATTTTGTCCTGTATCCAGACTCGGGACAATACCGTTTATTTGTTTAAAAATCGCGATTAAAATGCATGAGTGTTAAATGCTGTGCGATAATTTCGCGATGCGGAAGATAAATGAATATGCTCGGTCAGTAAAAAAAAGCACGTTTTGTTTGTTTTAATAATTCAACCATAATTAATTTTGTATACGGATTCTTTAGTATAAATATCAAGTTCAGATTCATCTCATCATCACAGCAACCATCGATCACAATGAAGACACTAGTACTACTTTTTACTTTGCTATTAATTACTTTGGCAAATTCGGCAACTTTAAAAGATCGTAACGAAGAAATTGAGCCCTCAGAAACCACATTTTCTGAGGCTACGATAGGTGAAAAAAAGGCCCCTGCAATAAGCAATATTAGAAGAAATGATGATGCTGGGAATAGTGAATTATCTACCGACAACAGTTTTACAAACGGATTAAGTGTGTCCTTGCCCGAAGAAAGAAGTATTTCATTATTAAAAAAACCCATAATAGTTAAAAAAAAGGGTGGGTATAAGGTATATCGTGATTCGGATGAAGAACTAGCTCAGGCTGATCCAAAAGAAAAGTGTAGAAAAGAAGTTAAAGTAAAGCTCTGTGAAGATGAAAGTGAATCGAATACTAATCAAATGAGACAGGATTTACAATTAGATCCTATTTCTTCATTTGAAATGGAACATAGTATTAAAAGGGCTAAAGAAGCTGTTGAAAATTTTCAAAGGGACTTAAAAGTAATGGAACGTAGTTCTACGATATCGGGCCCAAAAGAAAATTCACAAACTGACGCAGATACTGAATTTCACAAGGATATAGAGGTAGCGAGACAAGTTCTTGAACATATACATAATAATTTTGGAAATTTACAGTCAATGAGAGTTCATGCAACCACAATAAATGATGAAGATATAAGTAACATTGATTCGCCAAAAACTCGCAAGGTTAATTGGGAGGAAAGAATTCATAATATTCAAAAAAATATAGATGCTGGCAAAAACATTGAAGACAGATTTGTAGTCGAGAGAAATAACAATAACGATGCAGAAATTCAAGAAGACATCGATTTACATAAAATAGTCGAAAAAAATGACTCAGACCCAAAAAATTCTGGAAGTATTGCTTTAGATAGTAAAGATACGGCATCGTCATGTAAGTCTCTAATACACCAAGTTAAGGACGGTCAAAATGAAAGTAGCTTGGGTAAAAATAAGTTACAAAATGTAAAAATAATGTCGAAACATAACGAAGAAAACTCAGAAATGTCTATAACAAAAGATATTAACCCAAACATTAAGTTACATAGTGACAATTTAAGATTGGAACCAAATTCGAATGTACAAGTTACTCCTCAAAAACGGGAAAATGCATTATTACTAAAGTCAACTGATTCCTCGATTGGCATTGATCAGAACAATATAGAAACTCTGAGTGATGATAACACACACGGAAAAAGGTCTATGCCAATTGACATCATGCTTTCTGATACTAAAAGTTTAGATGAGAATAAAAAAGAAAAGATTCAGTTAAACAATTTACATTTTAAAGAGAAAAATTCTGAAAATTCACACACTTCACTATTTAATGATATGAAAGCAGCTGAAAATATTTTAAAGAATTTAAGAATCAAAGAGGAAAACACACAAAAAAGTACGAAAATAGACGGTAAGGATGATGAAAATTTAAGGAAGTCTGATGATGTTATGAATGAAAAATCTGCGACCAAATTAAATAATAACATGGTAAGAACTTCATTACAGGACCCTATTTTTACAAGTAATGATGATGAAAGCAAGTTACAGACTAGTCATTTGTTTCAGGTCATCAATACGGAGAAGGAAAAAATACAGCATATGAAATCAGTTGAAAATGCAAATGGCAATATTATGACTTTGCCATTTGATGACCATTTACACGTAGGGGCGCCAACAGGAGAAACTACAAACAACTTTGAAGTTGAACGTATTCAAAATCCTCATTTTAATTTAGAAAGAAATGATGAAAATAATATGTTACTGCATCAGCCATTAAAAGAAAATAATCAATTGTTAGATCAGATGAAAATTGCAGAAGAAAAAGATCATGAATATGTGCATAGGGGCATTCACCAATATCATGGTATGATAAATGATAAAAATTTAAACAGATTTGAAATGTCGCAAATACACGAAAATGGTGATCTAAGAAATACGCCCAATGAATTATCGGAAATGCAATGGGTAGAAAATAACGTTCAGAAGCTTCATAACATGAGAAACGATGAATCAACCAATGATGAACATTTAAAAAAGACCTCTTTTGTTGAACATTCCCACCAAATTCCCACGATGAGGAGAAGTTCTCCCTCCAACCTTCATATGGAACATGGAGACATGCAAATAAACAGTGCATTGCACGAATTGCGGAATCATGAAGGACAACTGACAAATGGGCAATTTAATCATCAATTAAATAACAGACCAACTTTGAGGCTCGATACAGAATTTGGAAAGAAATCGTCTATGGATGGACATCACAATTTTAATATTCCAAGCACTCAACGTATAGCATCAGAAATGATCCCTGTTAACGCCATGTTTCACCATGGAAAAAATCCTGATATGGATAATATTGTACAAGCAAGTCAGCACATGCATATAAGAGAAGCGTTGCAACCAGAATACGCCCAACAGTGGTTTAACAAGCACGGCATGAGCAGTCGATCAAATTACATGCAACAACCGTCCAACGTACCGTCAACGGTAACTGGTAGCTACGGTAGTACTAGCTCAGGTGCCGTAGGCTTGTTCCCAAATGCAAATACCGGAGGTTGTGCAATTCCACTACTACTCAGTTGTTCGCCTTCAGTTGTATCCGGTACCCTAGCCAAAGGTCATTCATCCTACAGTGCGCCTTCGTATAGATCTATGGACGAATTTAGATATCATAATAAGCGGGAAACACATAACGAAGGTAAAAAACTTGTCAATAAAAATCACCCCACAGTAATTACAAAATTGAAGGTTCAACCCGCTACAAATAAAACACCATGAATCACCAGGAACAGTCGTGGACAAGAACTCGATATAGAAAAACATAAAACTATTTTATATTTTATTTCATAAAAATATTTAGTTATTTCATCAATGATATGTACGCATCACAAAACGTAATAAACGTTAGAAAAAAGTATTAATAGTTATTTATTTGGTGTTTTCTAGATTAAGTTTTTTACAGTACTCCCTAAATTTTTTTGATCGTACAATATAATTCCTGTCTTAATATCTTATGTAGAAACTTATCTATACATTTATGAAATCTGTCGAAAAGTCGTGCCTGTAATTCTAACATATTCTTGAAAAAAAAAACAGGTCCAGGGGACTAAGTAAAGGGTACTGAAGCTAAATTAGTGGTCTTTATAATTATTGTGTCTTTCTGTCTGTCTGTTTGTCTGTGTATTCACGATTCACGCGAAAACTACTGGACTGATTTCCCTGAAAATTTGTATATAGGTAGTGAGTAACCCGGGGTTACTTATGGGCAAATTTTTATCCGATTACGGAAATTCAAAAAAGAAGGTCAAGTCTTTTCCCTTCTTTAAATGTTAATTTTATATTATGATTCTGTCTGTTCATCTATATGCTGGATGATTGGTATTTTTTTTCTTCAAATAAATAGCATATTCATAAATAAAGTTCCAAAGTAAGTTTTAACCTTTGTTTAATAAATTGAAAATACGCCGACAATCTATTTTAGTTTCAAAAAAAGCGCCATGATCAAATAGAAATAGTACATTTTGCGTTCAGTTACTAAATAAATAGAATAAAATATAATTAAATAAATTACATTTATATGTTAAAATAATGAGATATATAAAATTATTTAAATATCCTTACGTAAATTTTTTAGCATTTTGGTTCGTTCAAAAGTGTAATAACTTTAATAGTGACGTTAATCTAAAATATGAAAATCTATAATATGATTTTTACCTTAATTATTAATGTATATTTAAACTGATTTAAACTGGTCTGCCTGCAATTATTGCAAAATTCTCATTATCCTTATAGTTGGATCAAAGAAATTTTTATATAATGTCATGGCCAAATAGTAGACTGATCATACCTTAAAGTTATAAATTTCGTGAAATAGCAGTAGTAATTTAACACTGTTGACCATGACCACAAACAGAGTTTTTAGCAAAATCAACGTTACTTTATGCCTGAGTTCGCGTTTTTCCAGTCACACCCTAATCTTCTATCGCTGATATTACTAGAAAGCATAGTTTTGGCTTTCATTATTTCATCTACGTAATAACAGCGCCATCTATTCACTGCTAAATAAACTAATGATAAGTCATTGATATAATTAAATAATAGAGGGTACTGAATACTTATTCGTTTAGAATCAAAACTTTAAATACCCAGATCTGTGGTCATCCTAGGGATGATTTATTGCAATTAACACGTATATATATATATATATATATATATATATATATATATATATATATATACATGTGTGTGTGTGTGTGAGTGTGTGTGTGATGTGTGTGTGTGTGTGTGAGTGTGTGTGAGTGTGTGTGTGAGTGTGCGTGTGAGTGTGAGTGTGTGTGTGTGAGTGTGAGTGAGTGTGAGTGTGAGTGTGTGTGTGAGTGTGAGTGTGAGTGTGTGTGTGTGTGTGTGTGTGTGGTGTGTGTGTGAGTGTGAGTGTGTGTGTGTGCGTGCGTGCGTGCGTGCGTGCGTGCGTGCGTGTGTGTGTGTGTGTGTGTGTGTTGTTCCCGTTAACTGAATTATCAGAATCAGTATCCAAACATATTTAAATATTTTCAAAAAAAAAACACATTAAAAAAATATTTTAACGAAAAAAAAATTAATTTGCAAATTGTATGTGGTTTTCTTATCTCTGCATTGGCCGAGGAGTAAGAGGATTGTCAAAGACCCCGCATTACCGATACTCGTGTGAGATAGAGGAAATAAAACCACATACAATTTGCAAATTAATTTTTTTCATTAAAATGAATTTTTTTAAATGTGTTTTTTTGAAAAAAAAAAATTATTTCTATACGCTTGGATACTGATTATGACACACTTGTGTGACTAAAAATACTGTTATATTTGGATTAGTTAAGCAGAAAGGACACAATCCACACAGTGGTCAAAATTGAGTTAAGTATACCATCGTACTCTTGAGAGTCAAAACTATCATGTACGGAAGACCCTATTTTAGTATTGTCCACAGAAAACTGTAATTATGAGGGAAGCTCTTTAGTTCTATATTGGCTGTCTATCGGCATAGAATTTTATTTAAACAGATACGAGAGCCGTGAAGCAGGCCGTGATATTTCAATATGGCACGGGAGCTAAATGTGCACGATTCCCTCGAGGAAAAATAAATCTGTTATAGCAAATATTACGTGCTGACGGTAAGTCACCGGTGAAGTGGTGAACAATAACTTCGTGGGAAAACACTGAGTACTTAAAAGTATTTTAATTGCAATTTGAAAATTTGAATTTATCACGTTCGTGAGAAAAATATCGGGAGAAAACCTGCATATTTGGTTCTCCAGTTCAGGTCATCCCGTGTTGGGGTCAGTGCAGCGAAAACTTTTTCCAAAAATTGTCTGCAGTCTGTGCCCAGTAATGACGATGATGAGATGTAGGCTGCTACTCTTTTACTTTTAATGGGACAATTATCTATACGTAGAACGCATCAATTTCATCATTACAGCTTATCAAATGTCCACACAGGCCTCCCCCATAAATTGGCAAATAGGCTGGATATTTGCTATGACGATATGAGGTAGCGGATACTCTCTCAACGCCACAACAAGGCGAACATTTTCTACTTCCGTTCATGAGTGCGGTTCGCCACCTTCCTTCGCTGCGAATAGAACTTCATTTAGAATACAATTAATTTTAAGAATTTTATCGCGATTTGTTTTTACTTTTTTAATGCTTAACGCACCGTTGGTCACGGGGGGGGGTTACGGTTTGACGTTCTGATGTCATAGTTAACGAAGGCTATAAGGCTATAAGTTGTAAGCTTGGGTTTGAATTTGATTTTATTAATTATGGGACTCCAAGGAGATGGTACCCTGACATGCTCTCTATTAAAATAAGGATGTTTTTTATTTATTTCAATAGCCTTGCAAATCAGCCTTGGTAGAAATCGCGGTTCTTTAGCGAGGTATTATGTTCTATCGGATCCGACTTAATAGTTGGGACAATATTGAACAGACGTCCCGGAGCGTCGGTGCTTCACATCAGCGATATGTTAATTTACACGGGTTTTTACGGATCGTGCATCCAAAGGTGCGTAAAAAAAACTCACGTAAAAAAAGGTAAAAAAGCGATAAAATTCGTAAATTTTAATTTAGTTCATGTTTAACATTCGCCTAAATATAAGAAATCGTTATAGAACTTCATTTATTAAAAATTGCAGTCTACTCAAACGCAATAATAAAGTCAGCATTTATTTTATGATGCCAATCAGTATTAAATGGGACCAATGATATGAATTTACAAATATCGCAAATAAACATCATACCGTAAATTAACGGACGAAAATGAAATTCATCATTGTTTTATAAAACTAAATTAACTATAATGATAAAATAATGTAAAGTGTGAAACATTTACATTTTTATACTTTACATTCTTTCATAATTTCGAAATTTTTATTTCAAGACAATAGCCTTTTTTTATATTTACATACATTGGAAGACACACCGAATATAGTAATATAGTATTATTAGTATATAGTAGATATTAGCGCAATTATGAAAAACTAATTTATTCACGTGTTCCTGTAACATGTTATATCTATGCCAAATATCAATCATTTACGTCCAATAGTCCTTGACAATTTTAAAAAGTTCTTTGACAAACAGAAATAGAGACACAGACACAAAGGTGAGCCTGAGTGATCGAAATATGGTAAATTTGGCACGGAACACATTTATTATTGTTGCTAAATTGAAGCCTACGCGAGCGAAGCCGCGGGCAAAAAGCTAGTCATATAATATGTCAATTAAATTTAAAAATATTCTATGAATTGCAAACAATATTCACAAGAGAAAATATACGATCATAAGCCAGGATAAGTTAAGTTTTAAAATGTTTTAAGCCTGATATGGTGTATAAGACTAGATCTTAAGTAATTTATTGTGATAAAGAGTTTCAAGGGTCAATCGGGCTAGGCTTTCTGAGATTCCACAAAATGGCTCGGGTTCAAATTGTTGTACTATTTGAGTGCGAGCTTGTTGGCAATACCTGCGTGACCCGGAACCCATTTTAAAACGACCCAGTTTAAACGTTTCACGCAGTCTCCAACTAGCTTCGGGTTCACTAAGTTTGATCTCAACGCTAGCAGTTCTGCTTGACTATCAGAGTTTATATAGATAATATGGTTGACATAGTGTTTTTACAGATTGATTTTCGTGCACTGAAGAATGGAGAAAATGTTTGCCTGATATAGAGCTTCTACCCAAATTCAACTAAGTTTGAACTTGGGGCGTTCCTCATAAATTCCAAAGCCTACGTCGAGGCGCATTTTTGACCAATCAGTATATAAGGCTACCGATCTCACAGATAACCTATCCATTCGGCCAGTCTTTTCTGGAGGGTAGTTCCACTATATACTTCTTATTAAAAGTGTATAGTGGACGCATGATATCTGAGATCATGTATAAGAGTGTTTTCTTAATTGAGCCGAGCATGGATCTCAGTCTATTTAAAAAGCAAGTACACACCGTCCTGGGCGTTAATCCCATACAAAGTAGCCCTCGCCTCCTGGTCTAAATAAAGATTAAGAGACGTTAGGCATAAAGTGCATTAAGATCTGCTACAGGCGATGATCAGTTCGCCCTTAGGTATTATTGAGAGCCTCAATAATACTTAAGGGCCCTGCCTCCGGCCAGGATTTCAGTTTTCCGCCTTCACCCACAATCCAGTCCTGGCTTGCCTTATTGAGGCACGTTACCAGAATCCAACTTGACCTGTGGGTGAAACCCGAAAATTTCGATCCAGCTCCTGGCTGCGCCCAACAGGCTATC